ATAGTGTTGACATGTCTTGGGGTTGTTAACCAATGTCATAAAACAATATGTGTACTGGCTGTTTAATGAGAAACTGTTTGTTCTGTAAACCTTCATCTAAAGTACAAAAAAAAAAAAAGGTTGGCAGTTTAAATCCACCAGCCACTCCTTGGAAACCGTAAGAGGCGATTCTACTCTGTCCTATAGGGTCGTGATGAGTCAGAATCAACTCAATGGCAGTGGGTTTGGTTTTTTGTTTGTTTTTGGTTTAATTATGAATAGGCAACAAACAAACAGTGGTATTAGGAGTTCTGTGACCTTTCAGTAAGAGAAGTCATAGGTATTTTTATTCCAGATATCTCAAGCTCTCACTTATACTCAGCATACATTGTTACTAGACCCAATTCTAGATCTTGCTTAATATCTGAATAAAGTGGCACAAATCATTTTTTTGAGAAGGGATTTGTAGGCTTCACCAGACTACCAGAGGGTTCTATATCACAAAAAATTAGAACTCCCGTGCTAAAAGGGTTGCATTAGTAGAAGAGGTAGTTTGAGTGCACCAAAATTGTGGTATATGGTTGTCACTAAGGGAACGAGTTGAAGGGAAGTATACTCATTGAGACAATGAAATGAAGAGGGAAGTATACAGATTCTGAAGATAAGATCTGTATTAGAACCCTGATTTTGTGTGACCTTGAGCGTAGCTTAACTTATCTAAACCTCAGTTCCCTGCTTAAAAAATGGAGATCATTCTCTCTCTGTGTATCGCTGTCAGGATTAAAATAATATGTAATAGTAAATCTAATATAGGAATATTCTTTTTCCCTGTGGGCACTTTCCATTAAATAGAAATCAGTTCTTCCACCATCAAATCTTTTAAATGTGTCATTCTCTGATTGAATGTGGTAGTGGCCTAGGGTGCAAGCTTTTTACTTCTGGTAAGTTTATTCCCTGTGTGAAAAAGTGTATTACAAGGTATTAATATTGAACATATGCTTTTAAAAATCATTCATCTGTCTTCAAGGCAAATAGGGTGGTTTAAAAAAGAAGAAATAAGTAGAGAGTATTCCATAAGTACTTAGTGTTTATCAGTTTTGTATCAGACACTCTGCCAGGAACTAGGGACCTAGAGATTAATACGACTGGGTTTGAGATCTAAAGAAGCTAATATAGTGAGGAAGAGAGGCCCACACGCAGACTGGCTGTGAGAAGTGAAAGATCTGTGAGTGCACTTAGGAAGAAGAATGAGAATGTTGCTTCCAGGGAGACACTGTTCTTACATGCAGTTGTCATAGACACTGTCCTTTATCTAGTCCTATCAAGAGCAGAACATGGAACAAGTAGTGCTTTGTCAATTCCTAAATGTAAATTATTGGAACCAGAGAGTCGGGAAGCTCCAGCTAGACCAGAGATTAGTGAACTTTTTCTGTAAAGAGTTAGATAGTAAATATTTTAGGCTTGCTAGCCATATAGTCTCTGTCACAACTACTCAACTTTTCATGAGTAAAGGAGCATGAAAGCAGCCATTTACAATACATAAACAAATGAGTGTGACTGTGTTCCAATAAAACTTTATTTATGGATACTTAAATTTGAATACCATGTAATTTTCACATGTCACAAAATATTGTTCTTTGGGGGTTTTTTCAACCAGTTAAAAGTATAAAAACCATTCTTAGCTTACAAGCTATTCAAAAACAGGCAGTGGGCTGTAGTTTGCTGACCCCTGAGTTAGACCATAGGGAAGTCCGCCAGCGGGGAATATGAAGTGGTCACTAAGGCCACATTAAAATGCACAGCCAGTATAAACAGTGAAATCTCTGATCCCACAGATCATAGCATGACTTCTTAAAGAACTGTGAAGCATGAGACATACCAGGGAAAGGGGGTTTACGAAGGGGTAAGAACAATTGCCCAAAGAGAAAGTGCAGCTTTGGAGCTGGATATAAAATGCAACGCAAGGGAGAAGTACTGGGAAAAATGACTCCAGGGTCACGCAGAACATCACACACGCTCAGGGGCCAACCTCAGGGAGCACAACACAAGAGGCAGAAACAGCAGAGGCATTCTTGGTAGTCAGAGTTGCAAACTTGGATGTAACAACTGGTCACTGGGGAAATGCAGAGAAGATCTGTAAATCCACTGACAGCCAGACTATGAGAAGCAGCATGAGACCCTGGAGGGAAACAAAGCGGATCTGACTGTAGAGCCTGACAAAGGAAGACTAAGGCTGGGTGGTGCCTTTAGACCACGGTGACGAAAGCGCCAATAGTTAAACCTATTGCACTCGGTTACAGAGACAACTACTGTAATTGTTTGGTAAACTGTATATAACTGTTTTATACTCTTCTCCATGGTTTTATTATTGGAAGAGTAGCAAACAGAGAGTGTCATGCTTACTTCCATATCCTGGCCTGTGACTGATTTTTCTGAGGGATTAGAGGTTAAACATAGTCCAGATCCTCTTCCACTCTCTGAAATAGATTTGACTGTGGTTCTCAGAACTGTTAATTTTCCAAGAGAATCTTGAGTTTTCTTCAATGACTTGCTGACAGGATAGCTAAAGGCAGATGAGGCTATAAAATGAGAATTATTGTTACAGGCTTCCCAAAATCAGTTTGCCTGCCCAACCAGTTTTTTTTCTTAAACTGTTTTGTTTTGAACAGCTGTATATGTTGTTATTTATTTTCTTAATAATGTTTGTTTTCTCTCCCATGTTATATGTTATCAGCTGACATTTCAGAGGCCCCATTTATTCCGTAGAACTGTCTCAAGTTTTACTTATACGGTGCAACCTGTGAGAGCTGGAACTCAACGGGACTGCTTTGTTTTTCCAGGTCTCGCAAGTGCTCTCGCTTTGACAGGGTGCGGTCCTAGCACTTTCTTTTTCTCATTTAAGTGGAAAATATTTGGGTTTCCCTTCTCTGATGGGTTTCCTTACACAGGTCCCAGCTTTCACAGGTTTTACTGTACTTTGCCATAACAAGGCAAGTCCTGTTTGATGGGCACCAAAAAGATCACAATTACCCACTCCCCAAAAGAAAGAGCCTAGCATTATAGAAAACCTTGACTGTTTGCCTCTTTCTTTCTGTTTTTGCTGTTAAACACAGGCCTGACCATGTGGGTAAAAGCCAGCAGGGTCTCATGTTAGTTGTGGCCTCTGTTGGCCCTGCAGGAATAATGTAAGTCTGTGGAGTACAGATTCCCTTCTGTCTGGACTGTGGAATCAGATTGATCACAATCTTTCAAGGGCCAAATCATTCAGAGTACTTTGTGAGGCTCTCTTGGACACTTTGCCCTAATTTGAATGGTGTCTTTGGAAGCCAGAAGTCAAAAAGGAAGCCAACTTTAAATAAAGTACCAAATAAAATTTGTGTGAAGGCCCACATGACCTCTGCCATCATCCAGTAAGCCAGTTTAATACTCATCATTTAACCTGATGAAATATTGTTGGACAAATCACGGGATGCAAGAGGAAATGAATGGTGAGACTCCACCAACCTGACCCAGGGAGAGAGATGGTACTGCTTTCTGTCTATTAAAATCCTGATAAGACATAGCAAAGGTAAGCTTTGAAAAAAACCAATCCTAATAGAAAAATACCTGGAAAGTACTCAAACGTATCTAAAGGCTCAATGGCCTCCTGTATTTATAGTACCTTTTGTGCTGGAGCCTTTTTTCATCAGATCTGGACGGTGTCCTTCCCGAGTCAATCTCTTGCTTGCTCTTTTCAATGTCATCCGCCATTCACTGTAAATCATGTCGGTTTTGCCTGCAGGCGCCTAGAGATAGTTGGTGGTGCAGGTGTATGTGGTCAGTGTGGCCTTAACTTTTGGAAAGTGTGCTGTGTGGGTGTAGGAGGAACTCTCAGTAAACACCGTAAAGTGAAGCTGGGACACCGTGTTTTGATCTCCAGTCGTTTGCAGTCAGATGGGCACACTTAGGGACTCTCGGGCGCCTGGCATGTTAGACCTAGAAGGGAGATTAGATGTCATCTTGTCCATCTCTGCTCTCTCCTTCTCCCCGGCCTTTCTGAAATTGAGAAAAAACATGTTTATATCCATCTTAATGTCCAATATACAAGGAAAACCATTAAAAAGTTCATTTAACATAAAACTGCTATTAGAGAAAAAGTTATTTTACTACTTTTTGTCCCTAAATTGTATGTAATAATTAATGAGAGCTAAAGAAGCCACAGCAGGCAAAAGTGAGTACTTCAGTTCCCTGAAAGCAGACTCTCTATACAGTTATTCCTTTATAAGCTTCATGGAAGATCACTATTCCTACTGCATTTTGACATAGGTTGAATCGAAACTGAAAAACCACAAATGGAGTGAAGAGTCTTTTGCAAAAACTTTGGTGCATCAATTGTTACCACTTTCCAGAGTTGACAGTCATGTTGAACCAGTACTAAACCCTGAATCTGGAACACCATGAACGTTAATTCCCAGTCCTGGGATTTGAAAAAAGTACTTAAGAAAAGCCCCTTAAAGTTATATGACTCTAGCAGAAAACGAAAAAATTTATAAACACACACACATACACGAGGACAACCACATGAGGTAGATATTGTCCCCTTAAATAAAGAAATCAAGGCTCAGTGAGGTGAAATGACTCACTAGCATTTACTCAGCCAAGTACATCGATGTGCTTTTCTTTTCTATCAACAGTGATGAATTTAAGGAGAGTTTAAAGCTGTCATTTTCACCTCTATTTTATCCTGACAAAATTCAACTGTT